TGGATTGAAGAGTTGATATAAAAACTAAAGCCATTTAAAACAGGGCTATATTCATATATTACTTTGAGATTTAATTATTCTAATGTTTTAATGATGCAATTAGAAAAAAAAACTAACAGAAAATATAGCTGTAAATTTAACTGAAGGACATTTTAAGCATAAAAGCCCTGGAAAGAGAAAAGGTAGATCTCAGAAGGCAAGCTCAAAACGTTCACTCCATAAACATTTAAAACTTCTACTATTAAAAATCATAAGCAACAATGAATGGCATTCCCTTGAGGTACTGAGATATACTACAACCTTGAGAACGTTCTGCTAAATGAAAGAAGTTGGTTACAAAAGACTACGTATGCCCACTTCTCTTTATACTAGTGTCCAGAAGAGGCAAGTCCATAGAAGCAGAAGTAGATCAGTGGTTGCTAGGAGCTGGGGGCAAGGGGAGTGGAGGTGAAACGGGGAGTGACTGCTGATGGGTATGGGGTTTCTTTTTAGGATGATGCAAATGTTCTAAAATTGACTGCGGTGATGGTTGCACCACACCCACAACAGAGGAAGATTCTAAAAACCATTGACTTGTACACTTTAACAGGAATGAATGGTATGGTAAGTGAATCAGATCTCAGTACAGCTGATATAAAAAACTGAATGGCAAATAATCAACTGGGAAAATATTTCTAACATATTTGGGAAAGGGTGAATAATCTTTATATATAGGGGACAATTTAGTAAGTTAAGCAAACAGTGACACCCTATTGGAAAAATTGGGCAAAATCAATGAGCAGGCAATAAATGACTAGGAAACTAACAAACAGTGTCTATGCTATCAAGTTAGAAGAGATTTAAGGAACAGTAATGCTCAGTGCAGAAGGAGCGGCCAGAGCAAGGATGTTCTCATCCACTGCGCCAAAGCCTTCCTCTGGAGACCTTGCTGGAAATCAGCTTGAGAATCAGCACCCAGGTCCTTTATTCCACGGTTAGGAATCTGTCCTCAAGAAATCAGCACAGAGTGCCCAAGGATTTATGTGTGAGATGTTCACAGCATCACTATTTGTGGACATTCACAATATCCATAGATTAGAGTGAGCGTAAGTGCTCAAAAAGGGAGAAATGGTTAAATAAATTATGGATCAGCCACAGGACTGAATATTATGCAGCCATTAAAAATGATGTTTTCAAATAAATTTAATGACAGGGAAAATGATCACAATGTAATGTTCGGTGGATGAAGGATATAAAATTGCTTACAATATGACCCTGTACACATGCAATGCTGGAATGAAATACACTGAGAGGCTGGCAGAAATGATCTCTAGGTGGTGGCATTCTGGGTGATTTTCATTTTTCTTTTCATTTCCTGTATCTCCCATGTTTTCTACAATAGGCATATTTTATTTCTGTAATTTGAAAACAAAAAATGGTATTTCTCTGGAATATTCACGGACAGGCAAGTCTTTGGCCGTAAGAATGAGTGATGGCGATGCAGTTTCGCTGACAGCTGGTATCCGCTTTGCATGCATCCCCCCCAGCCCCGCCCCCACACGCTCTCCCTCCTCCCATCGTCCTGGGGTAGAGGTAGTTTTCAAGGCCCACACACCCTCCCAGAGGCAGCCCCACCCTGCTCGGCCAGCCTGGCTGTCTCAGACTGTACAGGTTGCCGTAACAAAACACCACAGACTGGTGGCTTATACACAAAAGAAATCTTTTTTTCTCATCGTTCTGGAGCCTAGAGATCTGAGATCAGGGCACCAACATGGTCTGGTAAGAACCCTCTTCCGGTGACAGATTTCTCATCCTATGCTCACATGGCCAACGGGGTGCAGGAACTCTCTGGAACCCCTTTTCTAAAGCCACGAATCCCATTTGTGAGGGTCCCGCCGCCCTTGTGATCTGATTACTTCCCAAATGTCCCATCTCCTAACACCATAACTTAGGGGTTAGGATTTCAGCATTTGAATTTGGGGGACGACACACTCAGACTGCAGCACTGACAGCAGGGTGTTGTATACTCCAGCTCACCTAGGCGTCTTACCTCTGGGGGCCGAGTCTCTCAAAGAATAATGAAGCTGGCAACACTGATGCCCCTGGAGGTCTTTTTTTTCCTAAAGTGCTGTTTATTCTAACAAAGAACACATTAAAGACTAAAGAACCTTTAAAACTCAGTGAAAAGAATGTCTCATGGTTAAAGAAAATGTGATATATATTGATATATACACATTCCATTGTATATAACTGTGATATGTGTGTGTTCATTCTATCATATAATGGAATATTATTCAGCTTTAAAACAAGAAGGAAATCCTGCCATTTGGGACAGCATGGATGAACCTGGAGAACATTATGCCAAGTGAAATAAGCCAGACACAGAAAGACAAATATTGCATGATCTCACTTATACAGAAACGGAACATACATATAAAAGCCAAACTCACAGTAACAGTACAACAGTCATCACCAGAGACTGGGGCATGGAGGAAAGGGGGAGATAAAAGTAAAATGGTGGTTTCCAAGGGCCGGGGGGAGGAGGTCATGGGGAGCTATTGCTTAACGGGTGCAGAGTTTTTGTTGTACAAGATGAAGGGAGTTCTGGAGGTGGAGGGCGGCGATGGCTGTACAATAATATAGATGAACTTAGTACCACTAAACTTGACACTTAAGGATGGTTAAGATGGGAAGATTTAAATTCTGAGTGTTTTACTACAATTTAAAAAAAGAATGTCTCATGGTGGAATTTCAGGCCCGTGGAAGAGGTGGGGCGGTGGGCAGCCCCTCCTGTGCTGGAGCGGAGGGCTGGGGCCGGGGGAGCGCCTTAGGGGCCTCTGTGTGATGTGTGGCACTGCACACAGAGCTGGGCTGGGCGGGCTGCGACGGTTAAACCTTGGTAAAAAGGCCAGATCATCTGAACACACAGTTTCTCAGGCAGACTTACCCCAAACTGCCTCGGTTCCCCTGGCTCCCAGGCCTCAGCCTCTCCAAGGCACGGCCTCAGCCTGGAATTTCTATCGTTCTATCTCCATCAGCTGGCAAGACTCACTCTTCTCCAGTGCTGAGGAAGAAATGAGACCCCCACACGAAGGCCAGGTAGAATCCCTGTCACGCAGTGTCACTCAGAAGGCATCAGGAGACTGGGCCGTCAAGGAGCTAAGCCCCGTGTGTATGCAGCAGCCACGAGGCAAACTGAACGAGATGCCACCCGGGTCCTGTGCGGCTCGTGGACCTCATGGGAAGAGGCAGAGCAGCGTAACCATGACACAGGGCAGGCAGTGGTTACGGGGGGAGCAGAGGTATCAAGAATCTGCTAAAGAGAGGAAGGTGACATGTGACCTGGTCACTGAGGAAGGAGAGCAAGGCCATTACAGAAGGAACGCACAGCACCACAAAGGTCACAGAGGCAGGAAGAGGGTCGGAAGGGCTACGCAGACCACGCTCCCAGAACGCCTCCCGAGGGGCTCGGTCCTCGCTCAGCGCCCCATCAAAGTCACTGAAAGGCCTTGCTGGCCCCTTGCCAGCACCGTCCCTCGGAGGGCCCATACCTCCACGGTCTAAGTCGGGCAGAGTGTGGGGAGGATGGATGTGACTACTGCCTGCCTGGAAGTGCCAGCCTCCCTCATGACGGGCCCAGCCCATCTGTCCAGGCCCAGTTTAAGCACCACCTCATACCGCATTGCTTCTCCCACTTCCCCCTCCCCCCTAGGGCTCCCATCACAGCCCACCTCACAGCCCAGGCATAGTGGACACACCTGTCAAGGACAGCAGTGAGACGGCCTTAACGTGTCTGGATGTCTGAGGGTCCATCCTGTGCCCAGTCACCCATTCATTCATTTATTCATTCAACAAACACATACAGACTGACCCCAGTAGGCCAGGTCCTGCGGTGAACACTTGGGAATACCACAGTAAAAGACCATAAAAGAGTCGGTCCTTGACCCCAACCTATTCAGCTTCTAGTAGGTGAGACAGACAGAAAAGTTCGGGTGAGGCCCCGGACAGGGAAGGTCATTTCTGCAGGGAGGTGACGGCGAAGCCTGACTAGAAAGGGAGTGGAGGGTGGCTTTCCTACCGAGGCGCTGCGGGGCTGACACGGTGTGTGCAGGTGCTCGGATACACGAGCAGTTGGCCGAGGCCACACAAAGCCCTGTTCAGCCTCCCTGGCTGATTCCACCTCACCGGCATCTGAATCTGAGATGAATCAGAAGGCTGCCCTGGAAATGATAATTTGTTCTCTCTCTCTCACTCCCTCTCACACACACACTATTTGCAATCCTTTGTTCTGGGCTTTCTCCACATTTAATTACCTCAGGATAAATCTGATTTCACCTCTTGGAAAAATCTCTTCTTTTGTTTTCTTTTCATTTCCCTTCCTTTCACGTTATGTTTGACAAAGTTGCGGGGGACATCGAGATGGATGAGCATGGGGGGGTGTCGGGATGAGGGGGGGACGCTGCCAAGCCAGTGTGGCCGCGAAAGGGGCGCCCGGATGATGCAGGCCTCCTCCACTCTGTAACCCAAGCCATCAGTTCAGAGAGGTGCCCTGGACTTATATTTAATTCAATAACAAATACTTGCTCACATAAAAATAACTTATTTTCACTCTGGGAGGGTAAGGCCTAAATTTAAACAATCTTTCCCAGCCCGCCTGAGGACAAAGTCTGCCAGTTCTGCCTCCTCCGCCCCCTAAAGCTCCAGGCCTTCAGCTGCCGCTTGGAGAGGAGGGAGGGAGAGAGGTGCTGGCCAAGGCCCAGGCCAGGGGAGGGCCGTCCAGGCCACTCTGGAGTGACACACTCCTGGCCAGGGCCTGGAGAAGTCAGCACACAGGCAGTCTGAAGGGACGGGATGCCAGCCGTGCTTGCTGAGTGAAGTTCCCATTCTGATCGTGAGAGAAGAGAACAAAGCTATCAGTTTCCCTGGGGAGGGGAACACTGCCCGCCCAGGATGGCACACCTGAGCCTGAGCGGGAGGACAGGGCCCCCACCAGGCGGCCAGGCCCCGGGTGGGGCAGGACTCTGCCTGTCACTCACGTGTTGGGTGGCCACTGGAGAGACAACAGGCCCCTCTCGGCCTCAGTGCCCTGAAGGTCTCCCCTCCCACCGACTCCACTGCAGCCAGTTCTCCGTGCGCACTGGCAGGGGGGAGCTGTCGCAGTGATTAGTACAATTGTTTCACTCCAGTTAGATCATTCACTCCTTCCTGCAAACTCTCCAGCGCCTTCCTCCACACTTAGCGGGGGAATACACTTCAGCCCAAGCTCGTTTCTCCGCAAAGGGTGTTCTAACGGCAAATGGTGAACCGGGAGAAAGGCTGACACCACCGAACCCACTGACTCAGCTTCTTGGGCGAAAGCCAGCATCATTACGCGCACCATTATTTGCGGACCTGCGCTTGACTGGGGAACAGGGAAGGTTGGCTGGAAGTACTTTAGGGTGACCCAAACCTTCCTTCTTCAGTACAGTTTCAGGCCGTGGCATCATAATACATGCAGCACACTCCAAAGTGAAGGCCCTTCAGTCTCCCGATCGCCCCCACCTGGACCATTTAGGATGGAGCACAACGGGGCTGAGTAGGAGGGGCCTCAACTCCGCCTGTCAGAAAGCACGGCCTCACCACTGCAGAAGGATGCAGTCAGGTTCTGGGCCAAAATGGGATGGCTGTGCAAAGGAGGAGTCAGGACCAGGGCCTGGCTGCTGCATGGGGGTTCCTAACACCCCCCACAAATACATAAACACCTTGCAGCTCAGTGTCCCTTCACACTGAAAGGCAGAAGGTAAATCTGTGGTTGGCTGTGACCAGCAATTCTCTCCCTCTGGAGGTCTATTAAATAAAAAGAAAGGAAAATAAAACCAGAAAGAAATAGCTATGACAACCGATGAAGGAGTGGGTGGTTTGTGTCTACATGAAAGCTGGGCTCTGGCTCAGTCGCCATTGTCGAATGCCAGGACCTTACCTGACACTCCACAAAGGCCAGCCGAGCACCTGCTGAGTGAATGGATGGCACACACTCCACCAGGCAGGCCGCCTTCCAAATGGGGCCCATCTGGAACGGTGATCTGGAAGCCGCACAGGCCTGTCTCCTCCCTCCACCAGTGCAAAAGCTCCATGAGGACCTAGTGTTTAGCACGGTGCCTGCCACCAGCACACACTCAGTAGCCCTTCACTGAATTACACGTGGGCACTCTTCTATCTCCTCCAACCTCCTCCACAGTTTGGTCTTCCTGCTAGAAGTAGCCTTCCCCTGAGAAACACTTGGCCAGCTCTAAACTCAGCACCAGTCCTGTATCAGTGAGGAGTCCTGGCTGCAAGCAACAGAAACTGACTGTGGTTAAGTGAAACTAACCGAAAAGGGAGGCAGCCTTTGGGAACGCTAGGGAGCAGTGCTCAGAATCATCAGAGAGGCGGGGCGGGAGGCAAGGCAGGCCAGGCTGCATCTCAGGGAGGGTCTGGACCTGGCTAGACATTCCTGATGGCCCCTCTGCCTTGCCCGCCCTCCAAAGGCTTGATGCAGATGCACATGCAGCTGCCGGGACTTAATTGTCCCAGCTCTCCTGAATTTCCGAGTCGCCCCCTCAAAAGTCAAAGCCTTAAGTCACAAGCATCCAGGTGGCTGAGCTGAGGTCCAGCGTCCATGCCCTAGCTCCCCAGAGGTGGGAGGAAGGCCACCTGGGCCCTTCAGGTTTTCTGAGTCCCAAGGAGTTACCGCCCCAGCCCCCTCCAAGCAGGGTGTTCAGATGCTCGACAGTGCCCTTTCCCCTCCCCCCACCAAACATGTGTCCACAACAACACAGAACCCCCTCTTCAACCTTCGGAATGACTTCATTCCATCAGACTCTGAAAACCAGCTGAACTGAAGCAGGAATAAACTCTCTTGCTTGGCGTGTAACTGAGTCGATTTTACAATCTAGTGTTTACAACATGCTTAGTACACAGGAGGAAACGGTGGCAGTTATAACTTTAGCCTCTGGGTCCTGAGGGAGGCTGAGGACACCGTCTTGGGGGAGACATTTGAGAAGAAGATAAAGCACCCTTAGAGAACGAGGCTGCTTCCAAGCTCCAGGCTGGGGGCTGGGGAAGGAGTGGTTGCCGTCTTGGCTGGAGGCAGAGGTCTGGACAGACTCACTTTTCTCCCCTAGCGGAGCTTAGCCCCAGGATTCTCAGCCTGGTGGCTGACACCTCCTCCTTTTCCCGGCCCCTGCTCTCACCCTAAGAGTATCTGTCTAAATCTGCTGCCAGCTTTCCCAGATGTGTCCTCCGACATACAGACTCTGCGGCATGCTATGGTAAGACAGCAGGTCGGGCTGCCCCTCCCAGTGCCTGCAATCTGCTCACCGCCCATCGTCCCTGACAGGGCTGATTTCACAGCTGTCTGGACGAGCATCGCTGGAGGGATGGGGGATCATGGGGCGGACCACACATGAGTTTGCAACAGAGGTAAACCTTTGCACTTTCCTCAATCCCCTAGTAACTTACCAAGGTCCTGAGACAGAGGATTGCAGTCACCTGTTTTGTATTTCTAGGCATATGCAAGGTTGGGTCTGTGACTCCCACTTCTGTGCCCGCAATTTTTCTTTCTTGAAAGTGGGGACATCGCCTGTCCTGTTCAGCACAATCCTAAACAGGCAAAGTTGGGGATGACTTGGGAGACCAAATGGCCTTCACTCTGAAGTGTGCTGCATGCATTATGATGCCATGACTTGAACCTGTACTGAAGAAGGGAGGTTTGTGTCACCCTGAAGTATTTCCAGCCAAATTTTCATGCTTCCTAATCAAGCACAGATATGCAAACAATGGCACATGTGATGGTGGTGCACGTGGCTCTGACCCAAAGAGTCGGGTCGGTGGGTTCAGTGGTGTTCAACCTCCCCCTGGCTTGCCAATAAAAGTCTTTGCAGAGAAACGAGCTGAGAAGGTTGGGCTGAAGTTTTTCTCCTCTCTGAGGGAGTCAGCTCAAGGGAACCCCAGAACTGAGCAGCTCCAGCTACGGGAACCAGAGCAGCAAGGACAAAGGGCCAGGAACCTG